AGATAAAATCTTTCACATTTAAACTGAGTTGAATAGCATTTGGATAGGATCCTGGTATTCACTTGCATAAGTTCCTCGTGTTTTGGCTCGTAGATTCCTTCAGGATCATCTCTCCTAGATCCTGCTTTCCATCAGGAGATGCCAAGGGTCCCAAATCCATGAGTTGGATGGGAAGACGAACCCAGCCATTCTCATTGGTAGACCATCCATTACATTCCATCATGCATTTGAAAGACACTGACTGTTATAGAGCTGCATTTTAGATACAGATTTCGTTTTGGGTTTATTTGAATTGCGAATTGTATTTTTTTCAAACTCTGTAGTGCTTGGATAGGTGTATGAGAGCAATAACAATAGACTTATACAGTCATAGCGCTTAGCCTTGTATTCCACTTCACAGTGCTTTACAGCCCTCTCTAAGCAGTTTACAGAGTCGGCCTATTGCCCCCAACAATCTGGGTCCCCATTTTACATACCACTGTAACAGAAAGATGGAAGGCTGAGTCAAATTTGGCCCTGGTGAGATTCGAACTGCCAAACTGCAGGCAGCCGGCAGTCAGCAGAAGTAGCCTGCAATACTGCACTCTAACCACTGTGCCGCCACCATACCATAGTACTTTTACAGTCCTCTCTAAGATATTTACTCAGCATATTGCCCACATTGATCTGGGTCCTCATTTTACCAACCTTGGAAGGCTGGAAGGCTGGTCAGAATCGAACTGCTGGTAGTGGGCAGAGTTAGCCTGCAATACTGCATTCTAACCACTGCACCACCACAGCTCATTGCTACAGCCACCATGGTAGCTGTGTTACTGTAAACCTAGAATTTCTCGAGTAGGCTACATACAAATGTTGGTGTAAATAATTTTTTAAAAATAGAAGCATGAACTATCTTGGCTACATTCTTACATTAACAGATTTATAATACAAATGCTATCAGTTAGAAAGCAGTTGTGTTTCAAAAGACTTAAAGCATTTTCTTGGCAATATTGACCCACGGCTACTTATATTTTATTTTATTTCATTTATGATCTTAATGTAATTTAAGATTTGTGTAAATATGGCTGTTTTTAAACCAAATTCTTTCTCCCAGATTAAGTAAGATTATACTGTAGATATAAATTTTAACTCTCTTTCACTTATGCTTGTTGAAATTCATACTAAACTTTTTTTTTCAGGTTTTTTTTTTCAGATTTGGAAGACAATTGAAGTAACTCCCTGAGCTTTCACAGTTTTTTTTTGTTTAGTGCTGATTGGCAAGGCATATTAGAAAAACAGAGGGTAGGTTTGTTTAAATGTTAAAAGTATTTTGTTTTAAATGGATTTTAAATAGGGCAACTGGATCTCATTTGCAAAAAAACTAAATGAGTAGCAGCAAAGTTCCCTATATCTTTATGCTGTCATTGAATGGTAAAAAGGATTTTGGTACCCCAAACTACTAATCTAAGAAGTTAATTTGAGAACACAATATACTCTAACTAAATAGAAAATAATTTAGTAGATGATCTGTCTACAACTTGGCAAATTTAAGACATGTGGACTGCAACTGAATTCCCCAGCCATTTAATTGTTGGCTGGGGAATTCTGGGAGTTGAAGTCCACCCATTTTAAAGTTGCCAAGGTCGTGAAACACTAATCTAGATTAAGAGGTCAAAAAGCAACCCAGAGAGATTTTCATTGTTACAGCCAAAAAAGGGGTTACCAGGACTTGAGTTAATCTGAGCCTTTGCTTTTGAAGGGATAATTATTCTAGTGGCCTAATGTCGATCCATATGCTATAAATAAATGGATTTGTCATTTTAGAGCACTGGTTTTTACTTGGTGATTCTATATAAAGGTATTTTTCACTACTGGTCTATACTGCCAGAGGGAGGCCTATGGAATTTTGTCAATTGCACTAGATATTTTCTAGGAAGGTGGTATTTTAAATTTAAAAAGATAGTAAATACATAGAACATTGATAAATGTCTATTTAACAGAATCCCGTTTCAAGTTTCAATAGCAGATTCTCCATTCTGTTTTGGGTTGTTGGGTTTGCAATTGTAGCTATGGGGTGCTCGCTGTGGCTGAAAACCAGAATAAGACCACGAATGAAGGCAGATATGCATGTCCCAGGATAATGTTGCAAGATCCAATCTGGGTTTGTCACCGGGATCAGAGGTTTTACTCTTCTGAGCTTTCAGACTTGTGCTGGAGCCTTCTCTCTACTGGAATATGTACTTTGGGCTATTCTAGGAGTTGTGCTTAGGTGGTGCCTTCCTACCGGTTGATTGGTGTGTCGATGGCCAGTGATGAGCTTGTTTCCTTGTGCTGCTGATCATAAGACCGGTCTTGCAGAGAAGCAATTCATCATTTAAATATTAAAATAGTATACACGTGATTCCACAGCACATGTTTCATGAAACAGCAAGAGGCATCTTAATTTAGTATCTTAAGACAAGCTGGCATGACCTGTATCAAATCTAATAAACTGTTATCCTGGGCAGATGGCTAAATCCAACGATATCGCAATTTCTACACTTCAAGTCCAAGTGGATGACGTGAAAACCGTTATGACTCAGAACATTGAAAAGGTCCTGGAAAGAGAAGAGCGGCTGAGTGAACTTGCTGACCGAAGTGATGATCTTGAAACAGCGGTAATTGTTTGCTCTAGATGCAGAATTTGGAAAAACCATGGCAAAAGAGGCGGAGAGAGGGAGAGATAGAGAGGGAGAGGAGAGAGGGAGAGGAGGGAGGGAGGGGGAGAGGAAGAGGGAGAGGGAGGGAGGGGGAGAGAGGAAGAGGGGGAGAGAGGGGGAGGAGGGAGAGAGGGAGGGAGGGAGAAATCATCCAAGAGGATGTAGCAGTCAAAACTTATTACAGGTAGTCCTCAACTGACCACTTGCTTAATGATCATTCCAACTTACGACAGGACTGAAAAAACTAACTTGTAACCAATCCTTACATTTAAGACCGTTGCAGCACCCCCAGTTATGGGATCAAAATTTGGGTGCTTGGTAACCAGCATGTTTTTACAGCCTTACAGAGTCATGTGATCCCCATCTAATACCTTCTCAGGGGGATTCAAATAAAAAAAGTCAATGGGAGCAACCAGATTTGCGTAACAACCATGTGGGATACTTAACAAACACTGTGAATCACTTAATGTAATATACTTAACCGCTGTGAATAACCACCATAGCAAAAAATAAATAAATCAGACACTGACTCACTTTATGACCTCATCGCTTAGGAATGGAAGTTCTGATCCTATCTGTACTTGAGAAAACTGGGCCAATTCCTGAATGTGTGAATTGGTTAATTAACAGGAGTAAATTATTCATTGACTAAGATAACCACCGGTCAACCGGATTCTCCTTTCACCCATTGGGGTGAAATCAGATGCAGTCTTATACAATTTAATCTACACTATATGGATATATTTTCTCTTCCTCACCTGCCACATTCATCATAACCATATAAGATAGGAACTTGTAAGAGAGTCTGGTTTGTCCTTAAACATTTTAATCACTCTTTAAGTAAATAAAACAAATTTGTTGAACAAAATGTATGCTGCATTTTTAAAGCAGCTTCACCTTACTAAATGAATCCCATTTTTAAACATTTTTCCCCATCTGATTTCAGGCTCATGGCTTCCAAAAAACTACTATCAAGATTTCAAAGAAGATGTGGTGGAAAAATACTAAAATGATCATAATTATAGCAATAATATTCATCATTGTTGTTATTTTTATAGTTCTTATAGCCACAGGAGTTATTCCAATGTAGGGAATGTTTAAACTACCTAATGTACAAAGTATTGTATATGGAGCACAAATTCAGTATTTATGCTGAAACCCTATTTTTATACATAAACTGCTCGTTTTACCCATTAATAAAGTAGCTCATGCTCCTTCTTCTATTTGGAAGAGTACTTTCTTGCAAAAGTGATAGGCTATTCGATCCAGTCAGAATCCTTACACAAAAAACCTGAACAAAATTTCTTATTGAATTTAAGAAGTAAATTGGAAAGAGGTATCCAAATAGAATTAAAATTAAAATTAGTTTGTTGAGTTCTAGCCCTCTTGTAAGGTTTCCTTTAGTTTCCACCTACACAGATTAAATCAAGTATAAATTAAACTCTTGGTATTTCCCTCAATACTCCTCTTTATTATTTGTTACCTAACATCCATTAAATCACAATGGGCTTTTCTGGAATCTGGAAATGCCAGTGAGCTTTTCAAGGATGTTGAGGGGAACTTATATAGACTGTGAAGTTTTAACCACCGTGTTTCCCCCAAATTAAGACCCAATCTTATTTTCCTATCTGTAAAGGAGATACAACGTATGCCTCCATGCTTGGAATTAGCGGTATTTGTGCTGCCCCCAAGGAGCCAGCGAGCTGCAACTGGGCAGTCGTCCCCCTGCACCCTTGCCTCCTCTCATGCTGGCCACACCCATCCCTGGGCTTATTTTCAGGGTGGGGCTTATATTAGGTGCAACCCCCCCCCCCCATGCAGGATCCGGGTGGGTCTTATTTTCAGGGAAACGCAGTATTTATCACTGCTTGAATAAAACAGGGTGTGGTGGCTCTGTGGTTAGAACAGAGGCTTGATGATGGGCAAGCCCGAGTTTGAAACTTGGGTACTACAGGGCAGGGTGAGCTCCTGCCAGTTGCTCCAGGTTCTGCCTACCTAGAAGGTCAAACATGTAAGTAGATAAACTGGGGAAGCTTGGGTGAGACAGCCCCGCCCCACTGGGTGTTGCCCAGGCAACAGTGACATCATTAGCTAATACCACTCAACCCCAAAGTGCCTTGGTGGCTGCTTCTGGAGCCTGTCGGCTGCTGAACATCTATTGTTTCCGACACAGTGGATGCCCACT